GGCTAAAAACGCCTTACTATACTATGTCGTTTTTTTCGGGCTAAAAACGCCTTACCAACTATGTCTTTTTTCGGGCTAAAAACGCCTTACTTTACATGGTCGTTTTTTTCGGCTAAAAACGGCTTTCTATACATGGTCATTTTTTTCGGCTAAAAACGCCTTACTATACATGGTCGTTTTTTTCGGTTGTTTTTTTCGGCTAAAAACACCTTACTATACATGGTCATTTTTTTCGGCAAAAAACGCCTTACTATACGTGGTCGTTTTTTTTGGCTAAAAACGCCTTACTATACGTGGTCGTTTTTTTCCGCTAAAAACGCCTTATTATACATGGTCGTTTTTTTCGGTTAAAAACGCCTTACTATACATGGTCATTTTTTTTCGGCTAAAAACGCCTTCCTATAACTATACATGGTCGTTTTTTTCGGCAAAAAACTCCTTCCTATACATGGTCGTTTTTTTCCGCTAAAAATGCCTGACTATACATGGTCGTTTTGAGGGGCTAAAAACACCTAACTATATGTGGTTGTTTTTTTTCCGGCTGAAAACACCTTCCTATACATGGTCGTTTAGGAGGGCCTAAAAGCGCCTTCCTATACATGGTCGTTTTTTTTCGGCTAAAAGCGCCTTACTATACATGATCGTTTTTTTTCGGCTAAAATCGCCTTACAATTCTTCATTCTTCTTTGTAGTAAGGCGTTTGCCTTACTACATAGAATAATGAAGAATTGTGAAAAACTGAAAAATTTCAAATTAGATCTACATTTTAGGCTCATTTTGAACAAGGCCTGTTCTCACCCCAAAGTGTGGACTGCACACTGCTTTTTGTGCATGTTACTTCAAAATAACAAGTGAGGGTGACTATCAAACCAACCACCTCACGAAAAAGCAGAATAATGTGTTTATTTGATACGAGAAACAATAACAGGAGTTGCCAGGGAGGATTAAAACTTGGGAGGATTACGTCTTGTGTCCTATTCGGCCTTGCGCACGCACACAAACGCATAACCACTGCTGGAAGTGGAAAAGATGATTACAAAAAGCTTTCTTCTATTCGGCTTGACCAGGAGTGGAGAGCAGCAAAAAACAAAACAAAAAAACAAAACAAAGTGAGCAGTCACTGCTGTATCTGATAAACGCGACCGAAGAAAGGGAGGATAAGGATGTTGTCTCTTCCTCCTCTCCTGTATCATTACCTACCTGACTTGATCCGCGGCATGGAAGCACGCAATGCGCTGATATTGCAGCGAACCCCCTCTTTTCACGGGGGATAGCTCCAGAGCCAGGCGATAAACGTACAGAAAATTACTCATGCGCCCCTAAAAGGGATCGTAACTCCACCACGACTACTTTGCCTTTGGTATCTGCTCTTCTTCTGTTTGACTATTTAACGCTTGTGTTTAGCCCGATCGGTTCTGCCGAGCGCCACCTGCAGAACTGTCTGGAGTGATTCATGTTGGGCCCAGCCTTGATGTTGCCTTTGTCTGGGTCGTAGATGGTGGTGGCTCGCGCGTAAGCTCCGCCCAGAATGTACACCAGGCCGCCCAGACTCACCGCCGGAGCGTACTTGTTGTCTGCACACAATAACACATTCGGACGGAGTCAAAGGCAAACTCGCGGAGTGACGCAGAGGCAGACACTCAGCGAGTCGTACACAGACACACACATGAACCAACACCGCCACAAAGACATAAACACATCCACACGAGACCCTCCCGCCAAATGCACACACAGACACACACACTTAGACCCACGGACAAACACAAAAGCACGCACACAAACCCAGTCACATTCATGAAACACGCGCGCACACACGCACGCGACATTCTCCATCTATTTGTAATGACATCAGCTTGTTTTTCCACCCACCCATCCAAATATTAGGAACAACTCTCAGCATGATGAAACTGCATGTGTGTGTGTGTGTGTATCGACACATTTGTCTGCGCTCGACGCCCAAGGCCGAATACTCACAGGGGTGTAAAAAAAACAACAGGGGGAGGGAGGGGAGGGTAAACTCCACAGATAAATACTTTGTGTCTGGCAGCGGCGCAGCATGTGGCGGCATCTTCATCACAGCGCAATCCAAACATCACCTGTGTCGGCTCTGGGATCTCCGTGACGTCTAACAATGACTTGTTGGATGAATAGCGATCAACTTTTCATGATGTTTTCGGTCAAATTCCATTCGTTGAGTTGAAAAAAAGTCCATCAAAATAAATACAATTTACAAAGATTGGTCAAATAAAGTGAAATCAAAAAGAGTGGTGGGGGCCCAGGGTCGTGGACAATCACGACCCACCGATCATGGGCGACTCGATGAAGCTCCAGGCGTCGCTCTGCGGCACGTAGGACTGGAGCACGCCGGCCGATCGTCCCGCCTCATTGACGCCGCCAAAAACGTACACTTTTCCGCCGCACACCGTGGCCGCCGCCGAGTGCACCGGCTTGGGTAACGGCGCCACCGTCTCCCACTGGTTGGTGATGGTGTCGTACCTGAAAAAGAAACCGTGTCACCTTGATGGATAAGTTGAATTTGTTCAGTCAACTCATAGCTCAAAACAGTTTTCGCTCAAAGGGAATACTTGATCCTTTTTGACAAAAAAAAAAAAAAAAAAAAACCTACCGAAACATATTAATAACACACCTGAGAACAAATGCATAACGTGTTTCCTCCTTGCCTCTAAATGGGATACGACCTACTTTAAACGTAGCACTAATGTATCATACGCGCACACGGTACAGTAGGCTTCCCGACTTATGGCTGCGGGGCTGACAGGCGTAATTAGGCGAAGGCGCGCACCACCGGGGAGGATGAAAAAGAGCCAGCATTGCGCACAATGACGGCAATTAAAGCAATTACACAAAGCAAACATATGTCGACCGACACACGCCATTAAGCCCTCGCGACGGCCACCAACTTGGAGCAAAAAACATTAAAAAAAAAACAAAAATACAGCACTCCAAACATGTGTAGAGTTCTCTTCAGGGGGACAAAAAATTCACGGGGTAAAAACTGTACAATGTCAAATTTTCCCCGTTTTTAAAGTATCTGATAAAATACTAAACGTGTATTCTCTTATGTAGTTACAGTATAAGCCTTTGCCAAAGGAGTAGCGAAGCCCGCTCGACTGCAAAATGTGACAAACGTGCCCTCCCGTGGGTTTAGTCACGTTGCACATTTTTTTTTTCCTGTTTACATCTGTGCAACCAATAAGACGAGAGTGATGTTACATTTTTTTTTTTAATGGCGACAACTTGTAATCGTCATCGCTATTGCCATGTCTGCAGCCATTCGCCTTCATTTTTTCTGCCAGTTTGGAAGTCGAGCGAGTCCCAAAACGGCGCCATCCATCACAATGAACATCACGTCTGCACATTCTTCACCGTTATTTTGCCCAGCGTGTTAAATAAAGTCTGCCACCAACGAGGCTCGCCGTCTTGTGTTTGATTTATTCGCGGGGTGAAGTTGCTGTCGATTTCTTTTCATCAATTATCCTAACTGGAACGGGTTTTGTGCTTTTGAAAAATGCTAAAACAATTAGCGAGTATAAATAATTGCATCCGGTAGCATGAGATGCTTGTCTTCATTTTGCGGGGGAGAAACGTGTTCATCCCTTTCCGCGAGAGACCACATGTGACGGCGAGGACCAAGGGTGTCACACCAGGAGTCTGGGTGCTGTGGGGAGGAGGGGCGGGGGGTCAACGTTGAGAGCTCAGCGGGTGCCACCGCTGCCAGTTTGCCTAATCCAGAGGAGCAAGGGATTAGCTCAGTAGGGGAGAAGCTGCCTCGGCAGGGGGGCTTTGGGAGCCTCTTGTCCCTGACTACCGCAGGGTCGACCCCTCCCGTGGCACACCCCCTGGCACCGCCCACCAATAACCATAACAGCTGGAGGCGTTTGCCTTGCGCTCGAGTGCGGCGACACTTGCAGGTAGCAAGGCGGCAGTTCGTTAACAGTGTGGACAAACGAGATAACTTGTTTACCATGATCCTTTCGCATTAACTGTTAGCGGTATCTTGCAAACCTGTCTTACATGGAAACAGTCCGCATTAAAGTATTCCACAACGCTTGGATGCTCTCTTCTTGCTTTTTTTGTAAGAGGACCAAAAGAACTGATCTGAAACTTTTGGGGGAGGTAGGGTGCCGAAAGGGGGTGGAGCTAGCGACTACTAACCGTTACTGGTAAAACGCAAACCTGACTGAAATTGGAAAGGGTCCACATTAAAGGCTGGGGACACATAAAGCCAACTCATGGGAGCCAGACAACAGAACGTAAATAAATAACACAGATGACTTGCATATCAGCATTTATTGTACGGAACTGTACCACTACTGACGAGGTTTTGCTCTGGTCTGAACTTGAGCTGCTTTGCAAACATCTGAATGGGATCCACGCCACGATGAACCAACAAGCCACTGCACTCCAAAAAGGATTTGACGACGCCTCAATAATATGAGTTGTAATATGTCTCGGTGCTATTTTTCACATAGCCATCACCGGTATTTACCCCAATCGAATTGTACCTTGATGAACTAATGAGTCACTCCACTCAAAAAGGGGACCTAAGTGGAACCTCAATGCCCGTAATCAGCGGAGTCGGGTTAGTTTCAAAAATACACAAAAACATGAGAGCGTCTGATCTTTTTGTTAGCTCGACAACCCCGCTGAGCGACTCCTAAATCTGGCGCCGCGCTGCTAACAATTGCTCATGAAATATTAAGCGGCAATGGCGCTTCAAGGACGCACGAACCTGCGCGTGGCACGCGATAAATAAAACAAAAAGCGCCACCGTGTGATTGACACATCATTAGACAGCCATGAATTATTCAATATCCTGCAATCATATTGCTTTGTCAAAGGATCAACATGCCGGGCGAGAGAGCGGGCCCAGGGCACCTGATTGCGAGTTAAAAGCCTCCCCCTACAACACCGCGACTCACTTCCCCCTTAAAAAAAAAAAAAAAAAAAACAGTGACGGGAACAGTTGGGCTCGGTCGTCACGAGTGTTGATTCGCGCTGAAGAAAGGCCGCATCCCGGCTTCATCCGGGCCGCTTTGAGATGCCTCTGATTGAAGACATAATTGCGACGGTGGGCTCGAATTTCGCACGGTGGGAAGCGTGAAAGCTAGCGTCGAGAGCGATGGCAGCGAAGGCGGCGGAAAAGACTGCAAATGAGGTGGCGAGATGGAGGGTGTACACAAGGCCAGACACCTACATACAATGGATAGATTTAAAAAAAGTGAAATCAGCAGCACAATGTATTTTTTTTTCTTTTTTGCACCTTGGAAATCGAAAGGAACAGCGAGCAAAATGAATTTTCATGCATGCAAGATCTGACGAAACGGACTTAAAATGATGACAGTCGGCAAACATTTGGAGGGTGATCAACGGAAGGGTTGGGCCACGTTTGGTTGCACCGTTTCTTCTTCTACGGTCTTCTTTTTTGCGTTTGTTTGTCGGAGAAGCGGAAGTCAGGGAAGCTAAATACAGCAGAAATGATCGTTGTTCTCGACGGTCTTCTTGGTTGTCATCGTTTTTGTTGCCGTCGTGGTTCAAACGCCAGCGCGCGGCCGCTCTTTAACCCAAATGAGATTTTAAATGCGATCGTCTCACGAGGACTCAAGAGCGCGGTTCAGTTCACTTGACGATGCGAGATGATCCCGTCTCGTCTTTCACGACAGCGAGTCTAATAAATGCGCTCAACTCGGCATGTACATACGTCCGCTCTGGCAACAACGAGAGCACGCAAAGCGATTGGCTGCGTCCCCGCGCATCCATCAGGCGATGAGCAACACAGCAAATCAATTTGCAGCTGTCGTCGTGGCGTCGCCGAGCTGCCATCCGCATATCAAACATCGGGCAGCCATCGCTATCCGCTGAGTAATGATTACGAAATGTTATTAGCGCCCCAGTCGCAAACGAGACACCTGCAAAGAGTTTCTTTCCTCTCTTCGGTCGCTGCAATCGAATGCTCTGATGGCAGAGTAAGCGTGGCCCAAAATGGCCACTTGACTCCTTGGCTGCCAGCCATTTACAAAGCGGTTAGTTCACCCTTCATAGTCAGCCTGTTCAGAGCATTTTGTTTGATCTTTCAAGACACGCAGATTGATCGTTGTGTTCTGTGACGATACAAGCAAGAAAAAAAAATGGTGGTTTCCAGCTTTTTCCGTGCTTTCGTAAACAGGAGTGGATTGGTTTCAGCAGAGGCATCGGTTTGTGAGCAGAAAGCAGAGAAAATAACATTTTGCTTTATTGACACCGACTATAAAACAACAAGAACAAAGCTGAGAGCGCAAAACTGGCACCAAACGCGGTCCAAAAGTCAATTTGATAAAAAGGCCTCAAAGTCGCAATTTTTTTTTTTTAAGTCACTTAACACATTTTGCCCGTAGTGTCAATGAATGGTTTTACAAAGGCCATAGTTTTGTACTCCATTAATTCTTGTGGAAAAACTGTTATGATCAGGGTTATAAGAGTTTTTAATTTTTTATTCGATTTACACATCTATGGAGTCGAGTGCAAGATGGGGAATTGTGTAATAAAGTCGACGAATGTTCCCAAACGATCTTCCTTCTTCTGTACGGCCTGGACAGTAATACTGAAGTATCAAGGTTATATTTACAGTCGTTTTCGTTTTTTTTTTTCAGTGATTAAAAAAAAAAAAAAAAAGTTAGTTGTTTTGTCACTTTTAGTTAACTATATTAGCCTACTCTTGAACACATCAAATTTTCTAAACGGCAGCTTCCTGGCACACCTGCGGGTGGGCTCGAAAGGTATTTGCCTTGTATTTACGAGCGCTATGAAATAAATAGCTCGCTGATAATCTGTCAGGAACGTCGCCGAGCAGTCGGCTCGGTGCATAATTTACGACACCTGTTCACAGAGTCCACGCCGTGGACCAGCTGCCTCCTGTCGCAGCCCGTCTCGTTGCAAATCTTTCCCGCTGCCGCTGCTCCGCCCTTCTGAAAATGCCAAACCGTGCTGACGTGTTTAGCTGTTATTAAGATACTCCAACGTTAACAGGGTTTCGTTTGGATAGATAGAAAAAAAAATGGAGAATTTGGAAAAAAAAAGTGCGAGAAAAAAAAAGTGACAACTTTTTTGCGGGGTTTTGCAGGGAAATAAGAGAACCTCAACCAGTCGCCACAGTTTGGATCTTGTGTATCTTACAGAGAGATGAAAACGTTAACGGACCCACAACAAACGTCCTGGAGCAGTTGTTCAGTTTGGCCATTTTTAGGTCCTTGCTTTGTGGACAAAGTATCAAGCAAGACACGTTGATTACCAGCTAGCATCCTTGTTCTCTCTCTTCAAAATGAGGGGGAAAAAAAAAGGATGGCTTGTGTGTCATTCATAAGTGGTGCTGCCAAACAAAACAAGCGTGTGGGTACAAATCAAATCTCCATAAAATTTGATAGTAAATTATACATGAAGCGGCTTACATTAGTCTCGCCTCACAAACTACATGACAGCGGCAATAACGGCAAAAGATTTCTTCTCTTCCTCTTCTTTTTCGTCCTGGTCGCGGTGACGCGTCGCTAGCTACACGCGGCGCACATTAGCCGGCTCATTCGACCACAAATCGGGAGGAGGTAGTAGAGGGGACACACCGGAAGAAGAAATCTTTGGATTTTTATGGAAAAACAACGAGAATGACCTGCGCTCTTTTTAATGCTAACTCCAGTTCTAACCCCGTGTCACAAATGGTTTAGCCCCGACTGACCAGCATGCATTAGCATCCCAACCGCGACTTTTGCCATGGCATCAGACCTCAAGAACCATTTTTTAATCTTTTTTTTTTTTTTTTAATGGACGCTAAGTTGTATTTCAGTGAGCTGAGGTTAGGAAAATGACGCCACAAAACGGGCAACACTTTCACCTACTCCAAAATAGTCCCGCCAGTGCATGGCGTGCGGTACTGGCTTAGTTCTGCTCAGCTCATGGCATCCCTGACTCACCTCTCCACGTGGTCCAAATTCCCAGAGATGCCCAGGCCTCCGATGGCGTAGAGTTTGCCGTCATAGACCAGGCTGTTGTGTCGGCAGCGGGCCACCGTCATGCGCGACACCAAGTTCCAGTTGTCCAGCAGGGACATGTAGCACCATACGTCAGACAGCATCACCCCTGACTCTGTGCCTCCTGCAAAAAAAAAAAAAGAAAAACTGTACAGTGACCCACCTGGCGAATTCATCTTTTGGTCGATTTTTTTTTTTGGGGGGGGGGGGGGTAATCTATTCTCCGTTATTTGCTGAGAAACTCGCCGTCACTATATTTGTGTTCAGACCAGGTCAACAAAATTATTACTTTGGCGCCATTTTGGTGCCAGGGAACTATGTTGAAATTATTTGAAGAGCTTCATTGAGACAAAATAATGCTTTTGCCAAGGAACGAAGTCGAAGTGAGCTGAGTATTGTTTCGCCGCCATTTTGTGGTATCTCCAAGAAACTAGAAAGCTTTTGGAGGGCATCATACTTTTTTCACGCCAAGGCTCAATACCAAAACTATGGTATAAAAAATAAATTACTGTCGTGAGGAAGTAAACTGTTCTCATGAAGTGTAATTACTGTCGTATCTGTGTACGGTATTGGGTGTGTGCCTTCCAAGGGGTGTGGCCTAGTGAGCGACCCCAGGAGCTGGAGTCTGCATGTGAGCGTCTCGTCGTGAGTTGTGGCCGACAGCAGCTACTTATTAGTGGTCTCATTTTTTTTCTCGTGTTTGTTTATTTTTGATCATTCATGTATTTTTTTCTGTAAATTTTTGTCCAAGTTGCCACTGGGGCACTAAATCATATCAAAATGTTAATTGTGATGATGTCATCATTGTAGAGAACCCCAGCTAGGAAGTGCGAGCAGCAGGAGCCGATTGGCTAACCCAAGATAAAACCTCTGATTTCTCCAATGGCTTGTCGGACTGCCGGCGGACACGGGGCGCCGCTTGTTCCCCTCGCCAAACACACATTTCCATTTATATGAAAAGAGAGCGTGAGAGTGAGAGAGAGAGAGAAAGGCGTCAAGGTGAGTGTGTGGCTGCCGCGCTGAAACGGTGGTGCAAATGGAGCGTGGCGGGAGGAAAATGCCGTCACGATGGAAGAGGGTGCGAGGGAAAAAAGAGCTTCAACGAGACACTGACAAAAGTCAGACGGGATGGTTCCTTTTGACCTTGGCCACTCATTGTGACTCCGTATTTAGGGGCCTATCTGGATAAGTTGCATGACAAGCTGCGTGACGCTGCGCTGTCGTCAAAGTGTCGGTGGGCTCAGAAGGCTGAGGATGCTACGACACAATTCAAATGATGAGAATCAACCCTTCCCGTAAATTGGAATCGTCCCGACGGGGCGCGAAACGCATTTGCTCACCGGATAGGTAGATGTTGTCGCCGGCCGAGATGACGCTGAAGAACTCGCGGTCGTAGAAAGGAAGGCTGGCCAGCGGGTACCACTTGCTGTTCTGCGGGTTGAAGCAGGTGACCGCCGTCAAGCAGCGCTGGTTCATCCCGATGGCTTGGCGCCCCCCCACCAGGACGATCACCTCCGCCACGCCTGCGAGAAGAGTGACAGACGGGTGCGAGACTCACTCTGAGGGTTAAGAGAAGAAAGATAAGACCACACATCTGCTAAATAGTGGCACGGCGAACCAGGAGGGTGGTTGACCATAACACAAGACCTTTTTATTTTTTTTCTGGGATCCCAACAGTTGCACTTTCTTGAGTTTAAGAACCACAAGCAGGGTGAAACTTGTGTTGATGTCAAGTCAGTCAGAGTTCCACATTTTCTCAAGTGTTGACCGGTTCGCCAGGCTCAGCAGAAAGAAGACAAAGGACACCGGCGTCCAATCCGGAAACGGGTCACAATGCTGCACGATAGGCAACGAATTGGATCTCGTGTCGCCTTAAAAGGCACACAGACTCCTCCACAGAGAGAGCGCTACAAAGACAGCAGTCATCCAGAACACACAAACAGGCTGGAAGGCTGCCAAGAAGCGACTCACCGTCAGGCAACAAGGCAGCCGCCAGACACCAGTGAGCAGTGTGTTTGAGAGCGGCAGGAGGGTGGTGGTGGTGGTGGTGGTGGTTGGATGAATGACGAGGAAACCTAGTCGAGTGCCGTGCCGGAGGGCTCCGGTGTGAAAGGGGATGGGACAGCCAAGATTGAGGAAAAAAAAAAAGCAAGGATGGCAGGCTAATCTTCATTGACTGGGGAAAAAAAAAATCCAAGGCCAACTTTATCTTTTTGTCCCCAATCGATGCTGCCGCTCAGTCAAGTCTTTTGACCCGTCGCTTCCCTCGCTTAAAACACAACAACAAATGAAGCGCAAACCTCTTTTCTCCGCAGAGCTGCCGGAACAAAAAAAAAAAAAAAAGCAGAAGAGCTAAGCCGAAAGCCACAGACTCTGAGTGGACGTTTTTCTTTTTTTTTTTTTTTTTTCCCGGGGTGAGGCTTTAAGAGGCTCTCTGATGGATGAGACGGGCGAAGGGGGTTGAAGATGTTTTTTTTTTTTTTTTTTCTATTCAAGATGAAGCAAGATGCTGGTTCAAAACAAAGCAAAGAACCACCACGGCAGTGGAGTGCTCGCAATCCTTTCAGCGGTAAGTCAGTTTTGACAGGCCTCCAAATGACCAAGCCGCAAATTGTTCATTCAATTTATCCACACACACACACACACACACACACACGCACACACACACACACACACACACACACACACACACACACACACACACACTCATATATAACAGATGGATATTTACATATGTGAATGGACACGTGTTTGCAGAGTTGGACTGGCAATATATGAACGCGCCGTATGTGTGTGAATGGATAGAAATGAGCACTGATCACTCGCCGCGCACGTGAACGCACAACGGCAGCTCCGGGCGATTTCTGCTTGGTTGCCCGCGTCAGCGATCGTCCACATCTGCCCGTCTGACTGATCCCCAAAGCCTCCAACGCGTTGGCGGACGAACACAACTCAACGCGGGCCTGTCAGGAGCGGTGATGGGGCGGGGAGGTGGGGGGGGGGGCAGTTTGGGGTCAGGGCTGGCAAGGCTGCGGCCACCACTTGTCCAGTGGTTGGGAGGAAGAGGAGGCGGCCGGGGATGGAGAAGACTTGACAAGCTGATGTTTTCCTCCTGACAAGAGTTTAAAAGCAATGCACTTTGGGGAGGAAACGCTTGGTTCTTGACCTTTTTTTTTTTTTTCCCCCTTCCAAACAGCGGCACGAAGGGGAAAGCCCACTGACAGATGGCCCAAAAAAATGGGCTCAACAGTCACTTTATTTGGTACACACAGTAGTAACATGTACATTTTGTATCCATTTCTTTTATCGGATACTTTTTTTTTTTTTTATGAACCTGTTTGTTTTTGATCAAATTTTAATATACTTGATATTTGAATGCTATACAATGATTAATTTTCTTTTCATATTAGTCTTAAAAAGTATAACGACATATTTTTTGCCCTTTTTAGTATTTTAAGCGTGTTTTATTGTTTTTTTTTTTAAATCAGATCTTTTTTCAATGCTGCTAGTATTTCATAAAGATCAGAATTCTATATTTTCATGACCGATACTTTACTTTTTTAGTTATTTTTAAGTTCTTTGTATCATTTGAGCAAAAGCAAAAAAGTACAATGGCCATTAAAGGGGAAAAAAAAACCAAAAACGGTAGTTTGGGCAAAGCGAATCATCACACCTCCATCTTTGTTGTTGTCAGGCATCATGAAGGAAATGGCGACATCATCATTGAGCCCATCACGCTGTGACAAACTACATAGTTGCCTCGTGTAGCAGCCACAAAAAGGTCTGTTTGCTCATAAAACTGACACGTGCATACACATAAATACTGTGCAAACTGGAAGGTGACAGATGCTGACAGACACGCACACACGCTATGTATGTACTTATACACACACACACACACACGCACACGCACAGGGTGCACATAGCTGTGGGAGACATTTATATCTTGCTGCAGGTCCATAACCATTACGTCTTATCACGCTCTCGCTTTTTACTCCATTTGCTCTCATTTGCGAACCCTGTGATTTGTCTCCCAGTGTGCTAATTTGCTATGACGACGTCGGGGGGGGGGGGGCCCACAGCGCCCCGTGATGGCGCTACACAGTGCCTAAGTGTGCAGAAGTGCGCGTGAGAGCAAATTAGGATGTTTACTTTTGTACTTGAGTCACTAAAAGCCCCAAAATGCCCTCCGCCAAGTGCATGTGGGGCAGAGGGTGCAGTGCCCTGTTAGTTCCACAAGATGTTGCTGTTTCTTTTCTCTGTGATTATAGTTAATACAGAGCAATTATAGTGAATTCATTTTTTGCCAAAATAAATTTGCCTCATGATTATTGTGTGATTAACATTTTATTTCCTATTGCCATCTGAGGCAGTAATGATTGTTTCTGCCTAGCAACAGCAGACATGAGCTGCAGTGACAATTTCCTGCGTGACTGTTGGACTTCCTGTTTGTGCGCCATCCTTTTTGTCATTTCCACTGCCAAGCGAATATATCTGTACATTTTCTTCCACTAGCCTTTGGAGCGGTTATGATTGAGCCCCATCAACACTGCCTAGCAACAGTTGACATGGGCAAGTCGTGATTATTAAATGTGTTTTTCTGACTTGCTGTTCCTGCATTGCCAGAAGCGAGTTAATCATTTACACAGTTTAAGAATGGCATCGGCCTACGGGACAATTTGGATTGATCATAATAATAATTTCCTTGGCGAACGCCTGACTGCGTTGCTGTTCCTGCACTATCCGCCCCTTGACTTGTTTGTCAGTGTAACCCCAACTCTCCCTAGATACAGGTGCCAACCCCAAAGAATCCAAACACTTCCATCCATGGACGTTCCTGCGCCTGTCATGAATGCTGGATGAGGCAGCAGCAGCTTTGCAGCGGGTCCGGCGGGTCAGCCTTCTGGATGCGCTCCACCTAAGCTGGATTTATTTTCTGTGTTGAATTTAGGAGTCCGCGCAGGATGAGATTTTACCGATAAGCCGCGACAACGTCACCGGCACACAGTGCCGATGTATGACTGAAAGACTCGCACGCATCATCTGTCCCTTTTCCTGAAAGCCTCTCCTGTTCTGGGTCACATGGAACCTGGAGCCAATCTCAGCGGACTAAATGTGCAAATCACCTGTCACTCACAGGAATGACACATAGCCATAATGATCTGTATGTTTTTGTAAACATCAAAGACAATCAACAGTAATTAACGAGCCTGCAGTACATGTTTTCATATAAGGAAAAAAACACACACACACACACACACACACACACACACACACACACACACACACACACGCACACACACACGCGCGCGCGCGCGCAAGTGTTTTTTTGTAAATACAAATAAGAAAAACTGCAATTTCATATGCACCTGTACCTTGAAAGTAAAGTGTGGAGAGTCTCTGTCAAGGCAATGTATGGGCCAATCCATTAGCATATTGGATGCGGAGCCTCAAAACTCGATACACGGTAGCAGGTTTTCAGTCGCAATGCATCGGGAGATGTGCGATACACGTTTTGCAAATGCCATGTTGTAAATCTCACAGAAAACAAAACAAAACAGCATTTTGTTTTTTTCTGGAATATCCAATAGAATCCTACTTCTTTTAGTAAACATCTAGGGCAGAGTAGTCATCAAATGAACTCCCAAGTTTTAGTGAAGACAACAGAGTAGTGAGGATAAATGTTTTGGTCGCCTGTGAGTAAAGGAAACCCGGAGAAAATCCGCAGTGGGACAAGCAATCTCACGCTGCATTTACTCCTCGAGACAAACGGCGAGGCTTAATAATTACTCGGAGCCGGACAAGAATCAACAAAGTCGGGGTTAAAATGCTTTTAATTGTCTTCCTGAGCCTCTGACAGCTTCACCTCGCCGCCTGCTTAAATGCAGACGCAACACTTTCAATTAGAGCTTGAAAGAGAGGCGCTGGCATCGGCGAGGAGGGACAACAAAGTCAGGATCAATGCGTGCTAATTGGAACGCCGCCGAACAGAAATAGGTGGCCGCCTTCGGAGGACGCCGGCGATCGGGACGTTTTTACGCACGTGACGAGGTGGCGTGATCGGATGCTGGCCGTTCGCCGGGTTTTAATAAATCAGACATTTTGATTTTCATGAATCTGATGCTTATTTTTGAATGATTGCGAAATGTCGTCAGTGACATTGGCAGGGTTTCTTACCAATCTCTTCTCTCCGCGCCGTGTCAAACGTACAATTTTACTTCCTCACTCAACGGGGGCTCAGCAGTGACGACATCAATGTTGAGCCTTAATCTCAAGCGTACAGTACACGCTGGGCTTCTGACGGCTAGTCATTAGCATATTGCACGTGCATATCCGCTCACACACGCACAGCAAGTCCGCAGATTGACTTTGCTCAGCAAGAAGTGCTTCACGGATGGCAGTTCTCTTTTCTTTTTACGCTTGACAGTCTTATCAACAGAGCTCAGGTGGCGCTCCATCTGCTTACGCGCCTTTTTAAGCGCACGCGCGCACGCACACGCCCTCCAACAAACACACGCACGCACTCAAACGCACACATTCAAGGACTAAACCATCTGCCCTTTTGCACAACTTTCACTTTGGGGCATTCGAATTTCTTTTTGCTTGACTCTCCACAGAGCTTTTTGTTTGCAGGTTTGACAGCCATTTCAGTTTTGACAATATGGCAGAAGGTTATTAAAAAAAAACATATATACACACACACACACACACACACACACACACACTACTCTTTTTTTTTCATTCTTTTTATTTGCTTCATTACTATAATGGAATGGAAATCAAATGTATTGTCATTGCACATGTCAAAAGTAAAGCGCAACATAATTGATTTGACAGTTTCAACACGCCCAAGGACAGGAGAGGAACGACTGATGGATCACCAGGCGCTGCCATTTTACTGCATGTGTTGTTTTACGCCACACAGACACACAAACGCGCGCACACACAAGTAAACAGTAATGCGCGCGTGCGCACGCACACACGCTTGTAATGACTTTTTAGTCCAAAAGTAGAGAATTAAATCGACTCGAACGCTTACAGAATATGGCACTGAGATAAATAAGTATTTGCTCAGTCGCCAACGGCATAAAGCTGAGCAGTAGACCGTTTTTTGTTTTTTTTCCCCACCCATCTTTGTAAATCTTTCAAAGTGCTTAGCATACGCTGACCTCCAGAAATAGCGGTTGGATTGGTTTTCAGCACGTTTTGCTCAACACAAGGTTAAGTGGCCTCTTCTCTTCTTCCTCGACTTTGTTCGGTATACACAGCTCTCAGCGGAAAAGCTTAAGACTCCCTGATGGACATCAATTACACTAAGTATCGTTCATTAGAGTTTGGAAAATGACATCAGAGTGGGCGCTCCCGCTTCCACTTTCAAAGACGGCTTCTACTCCAGGCTGACTTAATGCAACGCGCGCACACAAAATAGAATACAGAGCGGTGACCCATTACCTGCCCGGTGGGCCAAAATCAATAAAAAGGCGACGTCTCCTTATGGCGACATGACCTCTTTGTCACCTTGATGCGGCGCAAAATGAAGAGTGTGCGTGGCCCAGTGTAATGCTGTGCAGTGGCGTTTCGCTACACTAGCATCAGCGGCATCAATACAAAAAGTGTTTGGGGATGTTTTTGCCCGCACTTATTGACCGTTTCTGTCATTTTTCTGCCATGTCGTACTTATTTCTTAGAAAATAAGCAGCGACAGGCTCCTCGTTGCTCGGTGAAGTCACATCAGAGTGGACACAAATTGATGTTTTGCCGTGCTAGTTAGCTAGTTCGCTAGTTACCTGCCTGGGTATTATTGCCATATAGTTTGCCTGCGTCGAAGACTCCAAAACAAAGTGGCGCGTACGTTACCTGCAGAGAGCCTCGGTCTGGTGCGTGGCGTCTGCATCTCCTGGCGCGCGTGCGGCAGCATGTGGTAGCGCTTGGCCTCGTTGACGAGGTCGCGGCACGCCTCCGACGACTTGATCAGCTCCTCGTTGTCGACCACGTTGAGCAGGTAGGACGGGTGGATGAAGGGCAGTCGCACCGACGCCAGCAGATCGGAGAGGTGCTGCGAAAAAGAGGGACCGTCAAGAACCGTGACGAAAGGAACCGACATCGCCGACACGTGGATGTGAATTTTACACATCGACTTCTTTACCTTTAAGAAACGGATTCAATATTTGTCAATACAATGGTGAAAAATGAAACCACAATGACTCATTTAAATAAGTACAACTAATTACCGCTGGCAAACAACTCTCAATGTTTGCACATTTGCAGTGCTACAGTTGCCAAGGCAACCTCATCTAAAGCTGCAGAATGCGTCTGACTGCGTTTAAGTGTGGCGGGCCTGAACCCCCGTGGGAGGCTCGACTCGTACGACAGCAAAAGCTGTAAACAAGCCGCCGCCGAGTGTCACAGCGGCGGGCGGCCGCTGACCGGGATGACCTCAAACGGCTCGGCGCATCGCGGCCCAGCTGGACACGGGGCCAAAAAAAAAACAAAAAAAAAACAAAACAACAGACTCCCAGCCAGACAGAAGAAAGAAGTTAATAATAAGGCCGGCATCTCACCTCCCACACCTGAGTTCCACTTTGCTCTCTCATAAGTTGAGTTTGAAAATTCAGCCCCGGAAGACCGTTTTCACTTAGCGAATTGAAATTTGGTAGGCATAGCTATCGTGAGTCGAAATACAAAGTCTCAAGAAGGCAGGCCTGCAAATGCATCATAAGACGACCGTTTTGGCTCCGAAGGGGCCATTGAGTAGTCCCCCCGCCCCCCTCCAAGAATCTGCAGAGAAAAAAAAAAAAAGTTGATTCCGCGCAGAATCTATGCTAATACGCCAATACGTAAATAAAGCTCAACGAGCAGAGATTGAAGGGAGGAAAAGCGAAAGAGGGAGGAGGGAGGAAGGGGGGGGGGGGGGGAAGGCAAGGGGGGCCGC